GTAGTGACTTCGTCCGTGTAAGCCAAATAAAGAATAAATATTTAATAATGTAACCCAAAAAATGCAAATAAAAAAGTTTCGTCTAGCTTCAAAAATGACGATTCAATCTTCCACTCTTTCCTTTCAAGCATTTTTTCGCATTAAAAAGTAGCCTATGTCGTTTCTCAGGGTCCAGATTATCTGTGTACCAAATGTTATTTAAATCGGTTCAGTAGTTTTTGCGTGAAAGCGAGACAGACAGGTAGAGTTACCTTACTATTTATAATGTTAGTAACGATAAGTATTGTGAATTATTATTATTATAGTAAATACAACTTAGAAATAGTATAAATATACCTTCATTACAAGTAAATCTAAATAGCATAATTAGTGAGGTTGTTCATAATTGGAGGCACTGCCAATGTTGTGGTGAAAACAACACTAAGACTTGATGACACATATTTCGCTGGGTATATTCAGAGCGAGCCTGCCGTCTCTTGCATTAATTTTAGTAGACATATAGATAGGTAGAATATACTCTATGTGCATTATACTGTAAAAGAGAATAGTTACATTTAAAATTATATATTATCTGTATGAATACAATAGGTCGGTTAAGTTAATAAGACGGCAGTTTTGATTTGTTATCGGCGTTTCACTGGAGACTCAGCCAGAAATATACATTACGATCTTTGTTGTTTAAGTCGGGTGAAAACGAGCTAGTTTTTTATTGAATTATTAAACTACCGAGGTAAAATAAAAAAAATATGTATAATTGTCCAATTCAAGCATTATTTTGTTGAGGTCAAGCCAGTCAAGTCGTGTGAAAGCGAGTCAGTGTTATTAAATCACCTAGGTGGTATTTAAAAAATATATTTTTATCCAATTGTAGCTTTTTTCAGTTAAAATAAGGTCACTATTCCTACAATTCAAGTTGATAAACATAATCTATATCTATCTATGAATCTATCGCTACAGACATAACAGATACGAACTAACTCCCAACCACAATATTTTCAGATTAACGTATAAACAAAACGAGAAGCTATTTTTCGTTCGGTTTCATTTCAATGGGGTTTATCCAGGGGATTTGTGGATCAGCTATGAGTATGAACGCTTGAAGTATTGCTTTTGTATCCACAACAAAAATAAATGTGCCAACTTCTATATTATATCGTTACTCTGTAAGTATGCTAGGATTATGGTATTAACGTCGTTTCAACGTGTTTTGTTTTGATTTATGTTAAACAATATACCATAACGATTGTTATCTTGTATGGTATAGCCAGAGATATTGTCAATTATTGACTTCATGGTATGTATATATATATGTAACATGTAGACTAAACAAAGCTGAGAAATATGAAATCAAAGAGATGAATCTATTACTTCTTCAGTATGCTTTATATCAACTTTATATCAACATATATAACTATATAAATATATATATATATATATATATATATATATATATAACTATATATATATAAATATAATTATATTAATAAATGGCATAATATAGATGTATTATTTAGTATTGTTTGATTTATCATAAATCAAGTAATAAATCACAATAAAATGTACCAACTTGTATATAGTATTACATCGTTACTTTGTAAGTATGCTTGGAGTATGGTATTAACATTGATTTAACGAGTTTTGTTAAACAATATATCATAACGATTGTTATCTTGGATGGTATAGCCAGAGATATTGTTATTTATGTTTTATTATGTATATGGTAAATATGTAACATGTAGACTAAAGAAAGCTAAGAAAAATGCCACCCAAAGAGAAGAGTTTTCAGTATGTTATGTATCAGGTTCTATTTGTATCAGTCTGAGTGTTTTCTATGTATTACGTATGTATTTACAAAAAAAAATATATTAGTTGTCCCATAACACAAGTTCAGCTTACCGTGGGATTAGATGGCTCTGTGTTAATTATCCAGGGTTATTTCTTTATTTATGATATGAATGTAATGTCACTCATCTGATGTCAAACAGTTATAGTATAAAAATTTAATTCAGTATACTAAAAACACTTTCCACACAAAAATAAACGAGTTTTCACATCCTTTGAAATTCAATGCCGTACTTAGTCTATACAGCAAATACCTGAAACTTGGTCTGTAAGCTCATTACGTAACCTGAACGTTTGTTGAAAGAAATTTCTTTGAAACTGTACACACAACCATCTATACTTAAAAAGTAGAGTAGAGAAGTTTTAAAGCAGAGGACGTGCATAAATACCTAAAGTGTTCTATAGAACAAATTCTTTTCAAATATGCAAAGCTGTCGAAACGAGTGGCACTACACTTGAAATCTAACTAATACTATTAGTAAAAAGGTTTTTTATATATATTTTTTTTTAAATACTTGTTTTAATGTATTAGTATTGTACAGCTAATATAAAAAGTTTTCTAATTTCACATCGGGTAAGTCTTAAAGTGAGTACTCGTGAAACTGAACCGTTTTGTGAATCTGTTTTTTTGGGCGTAAACTATTAAAACTTTACAGTTCACAGATAAACTAGTTTATTCGTCGACTGGTTGATGAGTCCACCGCACCGCGATAGTCTAGCGGTCGCTCCGACATCGTCAATTGGTAAACGAGATTTTCCTTCGTTTACCAATAAAATAGATGTGAAGAAATAGTCTTTTTGATGAGGACGTAAATAGTAGAAATATAGACTGTTTAATTATAACTAGTGTATCGTCGACGGTAAACGGTCTCCTTGCGTCGACTGTAAAATCATCGATGACGATCCACACCGATTTTCCACAAAGTGGTACCGATGACTAGTAGGTACTAGTTTTCCACAAACAGGTATCGTTGCAAAACAAACATTACCGTTTTAAAAAAAAATATATTTTATCACTTTGCTTTAGTTTATTGGGAAGTTTCAGAAATGATATGTCGATGCAACAGTACTATTATTTTATTCCTTTTTCAAAATACACTCCACATAATTTGCGTCGCTGTACATTCACGTCTGGTCGTCAGTTCGATAAACTCGGTTTTCTATACCCACAAAGTTCGTCACATTGGTAAGAAATTATTTCCAGTGATTTCTCAAAAAAATATATTATTTATTTTTAAACTTATTATGCCCTAGACAAATATATTTCAAGTTCCGGGTACCGCGTCTATATATATTTTTCATCTACTATACTATTAGATTCTCATTTAAGGAATTTTAAGCAATTACGGAATGTTTTAATTATAATTCCACACCCACCTATCTACTTTATTAAAAAACACTAAAACGATTTAAAAATCGATAACCAATTGCTGCAACTATCGTTACGGGAGCTTCCGTTTCAAAATGGACTTCCTGAATGCGATGAAAATTGCGATACTGTTATCCAATGGATTGAAATAATAACTTCCTGTTCAATTGGCGTGCTGAAATGTAATACCTATCTATAGGTACCAATTATTGTATACCATAGCATACTATTATATTAACTAATTACATATTATATTTATTCGTGCGTATACCATTTGTGAAACGTAAATTTTTTAACGTGAAATTACTTTAAAAATAAGTAGATATTATTATGAAATTCTTATTAAAGTTAGAAATATTATATCCTCCTTCATATGATAAATACGTAAGTTTGTGAGTATAGGTGGATGAATATTTGATACTCTCATGCAAAAACTACTGAGCGGATTTTGATGACACTTTCCATTAATATAACCTTATATAACACACACATAAGCTATAATTTTAAAATATTTTAAAGATTTTAAAGTTATCATTAGGCGAAATATAATAATAAATGTCAAGTACGTTATGAAGCTGACCAATGGTAGAAAATTTAGTTACGAGGTATTACACCTGTGCTATCCTTATAGCACAGGTGTAATACCTATGTATGTGTAGTATTCCTTATACTACTTAAAAAATATCATTTATTGTACATTACATAACTACAAATAACTATTTGTTATAACAATACAATAACAAATTGTTATAAAGTATTAAAGTCAGATATCGTATACGAATGCTGTTTTTTGACTTCAGTCGAGATAGTTCCTTTCAAAGATTCATTGAATTCTCCAAGGCATGCTCACAACATATTTACAAAGGGTCTTTTTCAAGTGACGTCTGAGTGGCATAAAACCAAAAAACTGTCACAATAAACAAACGAAAGTCATACATCATTTTCCGTGGCAGTGGCTTAAACAGGCCACCTGTGAATGGTTTACCTTGAAAAGGGTTAGCTTAAGGCTGTATACCTACGAAAAACAAAAAAACTCTGTCGTTGAGTGAACCCTGAATAAGTCATTATCTACGCTGTGTTCAGATTATATACTATTTACAGACTTTTCTGAATATAATAAACTGTAATTAACGCATTAAAATGAACGGGAAATGTACCGAAATAATATTGTTTGTGAAATTACGATAAATATCTCGTTGTATATGGATATAGTGCTCATTTGTAAAACCGAGGTAGATTTTACAAAAATTAATTTGATGTGGATTTCTTTGTCTATCTATTTCAGCCGTCAAGCAGCTAGCTTTGTAAGAGATATTAAAGAGAAAAAAGAGGAGATTGTTAGAATTATTCACACTATTGCTGTCAATGCCATGTCGATATCACGCGGTCCTACCTGACCATACGGTATACGGACCAACCATTACGGTATTTCATAGTGAATGAACTACGATTGGCTGACCTGACGTGACTTCATATTCATCCTCATCCACTGATGACCCGTCAGCGTATTCCATTTTTTTTTTAAATAAGGACTGACGTAAAGTTCATACGTTGAATTAAATTACTGTGCACTAGCGCAACAATTTGTCTTAAAAATGCTAAAAAGTTTTTACTACCATTAATAACCTTCTTCCATTTCATCGAACATTCGAAAAAAGAATTAAATTAAAAGAAAAAAAAATCTGCGGAATAAAAATGGTAAACTTTGTATAACCGTAATTGGGATACCTTTTAATAATTGCACGTCTTCAGTACAAAATGTAAATTCTTTGTTGCTCTATTGTTACAGATTTAAAAAAATGTCCATCTCAGAATTCCGGAGGAAGAAGCTGCTTTATGTTTTCAACGTGTTTTTCGGTAAAGTATTACAATAAAGTATCTTTTATACTTTTCTGTTTCATTACATTTTCATTACGCTGTTAATACTTTTTTTTTGTTTCAGACGTTAATCAAAGCGGAACGATAGAAAGGAAAGACTTCGAGTTGGCAATAGAGGTATATTTAACTATATTAGTAGCTGAACCAACGACCTAGGACCTATATAACTTTTTTGTTAGTAACTTAACCCAAATCGTAGCAGTTTAGCTAAGATTAGTAATTAAGAGTTTAGGTTCTATTAGGTTGATTAAGGTTTTGTTATAAACATCTATATTTTATGTACAGACAGTGTTCAGTTACACGTTTTATTTAAATCGCTTCATTAATTTATATATGTATAATAAATGATCATTCAAACCTTACATTGTGTTCTAGATCATTTGAAAGTCTCAGTTCAGAAAAACTGGCAAGAAACTTAACTAGTATATTATTTTACGTTATTTTATTATATTTTATCAGTAAAATCAATATATTAAACGTTGCTCTAAAATGTGAATAATATACGTAATCCTAACAAACATTACGCTTCTTTCTTTGTGTGATGCTAAAAATATGTTCATGTAAATTATTGTGCAATTCAATCTTTTGTGTAAATATATATGTTTGTGGTAACAAAGATAAATACATAAGTGTCTTGAAGAAAGCGATAAATTACTAGAAAACGTAATTCTCTGCTTGACTAAACGAATCTTGTTTATATTAACGTACGAAGTTGTATCTATACTACTAATATAAACAGTTAAGATTTGATTGTTTGTTTGCATCTTATCTCCGAAACTACTCGACAGATTTAAAATATTTTCTTACTATTATCCCTGATGTACATAAGCAATACAATAATTTCAAGAAAATTAAGGATCCGTATGTAAACTTCGATAATATAACTCAAAGTGTGAAAAATACCAGTAAATATAATATAAATAATATTCTTATATAGCGTACTAATTAACATCAGTAATGTGACGTAGGTACAGTTTTATAAAGGATATCAATATCTAATAACAAGGTAGTTTTAATTTTTTATTTTTTTACAGAAAATCTGCAGCCTCCGAGGCTGGAAGCCAGGAGACTCAAAAAACAGCGAAACACACGAGATCATGATCAAGATCTGGGACGGCCTGCGTAAGAGAGCCGACTCCAATAGGGACGGTCAGGTAATATATTGAAATTAAAAACATTTAAATATCATCATGAATTACTTATACTTATGCATAAATTATGAACGAGATATTTCGACGTTGTCACAAAAGTTTAAAACATTGGTTCGAATCCTCGCACGGCACAAACATTTCTATGATTTGTTACTTGAGTATGATTGTTTGTATCTGGGCGTTTTCTATGTATATTATGTATGTATTTACAAAATGTATCTACGTATTTATATCAGTTGTCTAGTATCCATAACAAAAGTTCTGGTTACCTTGAAGTGAAATAGCGCTGTGTGAATTGCCCTAATATATAAAAACATAAGACTGTAAATCGTTAACAAATATGTTTAGCTTACATACTAATATGTACCATTAAAATGTCGAAATATTAATATTTTTTATTATATTTTAGATATTTTCGTAGTGGCAAAAACATTTTTATACAGGTATATTTTAAAGTAATACATATACTATTTGTTACTGACATGAAACAATTTATCTTCACATCAAATTTTATTAAGATTCGTTCAGTCGTTTCATAGCAGTTAACAAACTTACAGACACAGTTTTTGCATTTAAATATATTAATATTGTAAACAACCATTTTTTTAGGCGGAACCCTTGGTATATAAGTCCGACTCACACTTGTCCATATTTTAATCACCGCACACGTAATCATAAAAGTATATTAGCGTCATTCGAATTTTTCATTATTCACAAAAACAATGAAAATGTCACACGTCATAACGATCGGGCTGCGCTTAATTAAGCGTACGATTTCCATTTTTGTAATATATTGTGGAAGGCGAAGCTTTATTAAGGTTTTTGCGTCGTAATTCGGTTATTGTTCACACAGCCCCGATGCTGGGTACGTTTTATCGGCACCAACAATAGCACACTTGAGTTTATTACAGCTCGAAACGTGGAGGTTAACTTACGAACACTCATATTTTAGAGGGCTACATTTTCTTAGTAGATAACTAAATCCTTATAAATTTTATTAATGTTTTTTTTTAAATTAAATCGCAATAATAATAATAAGCCTGGGTAATACACACATCACTATTTAGTTCCAAGATGGGTAAAGATTGTCTTATGAGTAGATATGTGTTATATTGTCCGACAGCGTCGGATTCGATAATAATCATATTCATGAAAGTAAATGTTTGTACCGTATGAGGAATCGTACCCGCGACCATCGGAAATAAAGCGGTGTGCTAAACCACTAGACTGTCAGGGCCGTCGCAAATAAAAGACGGCAATACCTGACGACTTTTTAAAAAATCTATAAAGAATACCATTTTTTAGTTTACACGATTTAGGGGCTTAATGGATCTGAGTAAAATTTACCTTGAAAATTAACTGTACATGGACATAGGTTATCTTTTATCTGAAATAAAACTAATAGATGTCATAGATACAATCGGTAAATTGTATAAATCCCATATTAAAGACTGTTTTATAATTATTCAACTCAAGACAATCAATTATGTTAATAAAAAATGGATATAAATTTAAAAATAAAATAACACAAAAGGACATCGCGCCACTCGATCGCCAACAATAACAAATAAACAGAGTCATAAATTAGGATTTCTGGTCAATAAAATTGTGTGACGGAAAAATCAAATTTCGAATCTTTCAGGATGTGCAAATGTGAAACAATCGAATAAGATCGTGGGAAAGACTCGCGATACTGTGTAAATAAATTATGCACACGCAGGTATTTCGCGGGGCTTTATCGGGATGACTCACTTTATATGCGCATAACAACAACCAATTGGGGATAGTCGAGCTACCGTAGCAAAAAGGCTATAGGTATATTACGCTCTATATTTCGCGCATGGTTATTCGAAATATTTACAGAAGCATATTAGAACAGAAGTATATATAGAAATGATCTCTCTACAATCTTCTAACAGATCTTGGCCTATCTAAAACTGTAGTAAGTTTTATAATAGAACGTATCTCTAAAGCAGCACTATCTCAGCACTGGTTCTGACCAGATTTGACTTGGCAAAGAGGAACGTGAAGGTTAGTGTTGACATACGTTAGCAAAGGGGCCTCTAAGACCTACACCCGGGTTACAAGAACTGCTCAGAAACCAAACAAAAATATGTACTATAATAAAAGATAAGTTTAATTCCACGCGAGTAAAAAGAACATTTATTAAAATTATAATGAAGCTTTTATTAATAAAAATGAATAAGTTACGTAATATACTTATGGATATCTGTAATATAGATTAAATATTTAAGATATTCAGCGAAGTTTCATGATAAATTGCATATTTCATATCTAGTGGGTACAATGTACAATCTCAAACCATTAGTTAGTTTAGAACATGGTACATTATTAATGCTCCCGTCAAGGAGCTCGTTTGCATGCTGTGTTCCGGTTTAAATGGTGTGATACAGCGAAATTTTGGTTAATATTTATATATTTTTTCCTTTCTTATATATTATTATTATATAATTATTTACTTTACTATACAATTACAACATTTTTACATTTTCTACATTGAAAAAACTACTAAAATTCAATCATTTATCATTTATACAAAATAATTTTTTATATCATACAATAAAAAATCTATCTAAAATAAACAATTTGTCCAATGTCGTTAATATTACTATAATTATTATTTTATATTTTTATAATAACTATTTTATTATATATTCATGTTTTTATTATTTTTGTTTAATTCGTATGCATTGGTATGGTAGGCCCAACTATAAAAGCACTGGAAATCATGTTTCCAGCATTATGCTGAGATGTAGTTGTTGTTGTGACTAAAATGTCTAATCTTAACACTGCCTAATCGGATCCTACAACCGAACGACATCTTACAAAGCAAGCTGCTTAGTGGCTTATATAGGTCACCTCAGATCTATCTTATATATATAAAATATCTATAAGATAGACCTGACCTGACACCTCAGGTCTATCTTATATGTATATAATATATAAAATATCTTGTGTCATAATGTTTGATTAACGGATCCAAAAAATTATATCATTTCTTAGCCACTCGTGTTTAATATTGAGTAATTTACAAAATAAAAATGAATTCTTAATACCCATGTTATGGTATCAAACTTTTGTAATTAATAATTATCATATTTCGAATCATTATGTGAATAAAAAGTAAAATATACATAACCTAAGGCCAAGAAGGTTTCATATTCATACTTGATCAACGTTAGTTACCATAATCCTCCAAAACCGATTGACCGATTTTTATGAAATGTTATATGCATATTAAACAGGTCTGACAACCGGCTACTATCTATTTTTCATACCTCTAAATGATTAGGGTTGTCCACCCCTAACATTTATTTTATTTTTTGCATTTTTTTTAAATGTGAAATAAAAATACATACAACTCAACATTTTCACCATTCTAGCATCAACCCCTATTTTTTAATAGACATAAAAATACAATCAGCTAGTATTTTTTATACAAATCATTTGTTAACAGGTGTCCGTGGAGGAATGGGTGTCCATGTGGAACGACTACGCTCACAACCCGTCAGCAGCGCTGAAATGGCAACAGCAGTATTGCCATTTCATGTTCCAACTGGAGGACGCAAGTGCCGACGGTTCTATAGACTCCGATGAGTTCACAACAGTCTGCTCATCTTATGGCATCGACCCTCAAGAGTGTAAAGTCGCTTTCAGCAAGATGGCGAAGGTTTGTACCATTTTTTACGTAAATGGAAACTGCAGTCCAACTTTTTTTTTTAAACTGGAATGACAAACAAGCTGATGATCAACTTGATGGTAAGCAGCAACAATTGCCTCTATACATGAACAGCACTACCGACATCACGTTATCATGTGACATCGTTACCATTAATACCACTCATTTATTGCTAATATAATTAATATAGTTACATTAAGAATCCATATTAACAAATAAATAGAAAGTGAACTGTATTTTAATAAAAAAAGGATTTCTTGTGGGAGCAAGAAAAAATACGATTTCGCCTAGGAAGAGCTATTTCCATACTTTAAATAAAGTATAGCAAAATAAAAGCTCAGGAACGTCTCCATAGTATATACTTTAATGAATTTCATTACTATATTATATTATTTCAATATTTTCTTGTTTAAAATAATTAATTAGGAGTGTCTTTCCCTAACAGTTCTAATTTTAAATTAATTTATTTTTTCTAATTTTAAGTGCTGTTTCTGTCTATCTTGTGGCCAGTATTATCGAACGTCCATTACTCTACTAGGAAGTAACAGTGATCCAACCTTCTGTTACTTATTCCGAATATTTCTTTGGTATACAAAGAAATATTCGGAATAAGTAACATATATGTTGAAACTTTTTTTTTACATCATATTTATTTATTGGGTTGTTTGGGCTATTGTCAGGTACTTGGACCTGCAGCACTGCGACCTACGTAGATCTATTGTGCTCGCCCATTTTCAGAGTTCGCTACCTAGTTTCCGTCAGGGACAAGAATTGAAGGATATTCTTAGGAGCAATGGTTTTTATCCCCTCAGGAGAAAGTGTAAACTTCCCAAAGGATCTATTACGTTTATGCATGAGTGGGCTACAACCACATAGGATGTGTGGCGTTTCCTCTTCAGTTTTCCAATATCTGCAGATTTGTTCTGTGCATTGCATATTAACTAATGTGGTCAAATTCTCAAATAAAAGCAAACAGCAGCCATTAACAAATAAACATTTTACCGCGGTGCATTTTATGATTCACGCTTACTTAATTGAAACGGATAAGAGAAACAGTCAGGATGTTAGCCGTAAGCAATAAAAATGATAAATTGGCAAAATGGAATAATTTAACCATGCTTAATGTTTGTTTATTTAATAAATCCATTTTATTATCACCACAATTTGTATTGTTCATTGAAAATCCCTAATGGGCGCATTAGAAAGATATTAGAGTGAATACTCATAAAAATGTAGCGAGATTAAGAAATTGTAAATTCAATTAATCGTGTAATTAATTCATGGAACAAATATCTACTTTGAAAAACCGTTTTAGATATTTTATTAAAAGTTATTTACAGTGGAATCTCTTACAATATTTCCGTCTATTTTAGCTATTTTTATTAGACAAGAAAAACATGAAAATTTTTCGAAAGTTTGTAGAAATTTGTGTATACTTATGTAGATTTTACTGAATAAATTTTAATAATTAACTTAATTATTTTATGTTAAAACTTATTCTAAATTTAAAATAATATTAGTATAGCCCAGCTGTTATGGAGTTTAATCTTATAAAAATATTATGAACGCTAAAGTTGTAAAGTCTACACTTTACGAAGTCGTTTGCATGGATACCTTTGTCTCACATATATATGCCGACAACCAGCTTGCTTTGTAAGCTGTTTCGGTTAAAAGGTGAGATATGGCAGTGAAATTACAGGTTACCGTTGGCTATGTTGAGAACAATGTAATCACGTGATAAGGTGATGTCTACGGTGATTATTATGTATATAGGCTACAGTTGCCATTTACCGTCAGGACCATTAACTTGATCTTATAGTTACATAAAAAATAAATAAAACTTACGTTTTATACCTTTATAGATAATTTAGTAGGTTAAAATATATTCTTTTTACCAGGGCAAAAGCAGCGTCTCCTGGGAAGAGTTCCAGGAACTATGGAAGGAGTACTTCTCCACTGAGGACCCATCTGCTCCTGGTAACTTCATATTCGGCAGGACCAGCTTCTAAACTTGTACCAACACGATGTTGACATCACAACTTTCGAACGCCGTCTGTAACGGCTGAAAGAAATTCGAAGGGAGCATCGTCTCAGTACATTCCATTGATATATTTAGATTTATGGATCAGCAGATTAGGCTTCAAGGGGGCCGCTCAATAATACCAACTAGATAACGCCTCACAAATTAGAACGTACTCGCTATTAGCGAAGATTATTAATTGCCATTGAATAATTCAACATTAGAGCAACATGCAAAATTACACAGTTGATCTTCCTAAAATTAATAAAATAAAAATTAATTACATTATAGTATTCATCTATAGAGCAAATTAATTAAATTGAATATAAAATTAGTAATAACGATCCAAAACTTAAAATAATTAAATGTTATTGAACCTTAATTACAAATGATAAAGTGCATATTTATTTGTGTCGAAATATAGCAAACGATTTCAAATTTAGAATCCGCATAGTGAGGCGTTATGCCCTGGGCCATTTTAGACGCTTTTACGGGAAAACATCTTGTCGATCAATGTAAGGCGCGCAGCATCCGAGCGCCCACTTAAATCCAACATAGCTTCAACCGTGTACGAGACTTCACTTATATAATGTCAATATCTAATAAAATTGTTATGTGTCTGTGTTCAGAATAGTATAACTTAAACATTTTCTCTTAAATAGTGCATCAAATAATATAAATCACTTTACTCACTTCTTTCTATTCTTCAAGCTCAAGTGATTAGTGTTTCGAATTCTTAGATCTAAACTTATGACAACAAATGAATTATTCAGTATTCATCATCATTATTAGCATATCTTGTAGTCATATCTAACGATAAATTCTACTCATATAATATACTACTACTTCATTGCAATGTTACCCGAATTAAAAATAAATTAATGTTTAAAATATTTATGCGCGTTACTTTCTTTTAGATAAGTGTAAATGAATAAAACAACGAGAGGAATGAAAATATCTCGGAGATTAATAATAATGGTAATGATACACTAAAATACATAAAAGATCGAGTATCGTTATAATCCTTATACGCTATTTCTATTATCATTATAATTATACGAATTCTAGTCGTTTCATGCATTTTTCGATGTTATTTAAAAAAAATATTCATGTTTTTGTGTCGATAAGATTTTTGTAAATGTTATGTTGCTATAACAATTATAGTATTATAGAAATCTATTAAATGGATGTAAATAATATAATATTGTTTTATTTATATTATACTAGTACCTTCGTACGCGTAAAATAATGGAAAAATATTTAATAATCTAACCCAATAAAAGCCAAATAAATCATTCGTACTCCAAAAATGATGGATTTCCATACAGAATTTTATACAACTCAGTCAACAGCCAAAAAAAAAGTTTCCTGCTTCTAGCTTTAAAAATGACGATTTTTCCATACAACATTCATCTCGACTTTCAACCACTTACAACCTTTTTTTCGTATTCAAAAGTAGCCTATGTCCTTTCTAAGGGTCTAGACTATCTGTGTACCATTTCATTTAAATCGGTTCATTAGTTTTAGCGTGATAGCTGGACATACAGACAGATAGACAGAGTTACTTTCACATTTATAATATTATATGTAGTATGGAAGTATGGATTAGGTATTCTCTGCGATTTACTCTGCCAAGTGAATTATTTATCTGTGGAGGCCTACGTCATGATAATGTGACGGGAAATAGATTCGTTGACATTTATAAAGAAAAACCAAAATATCTTCAGCAATATATTTTGTAATACAAGTAGAAAACTTCCTACAATAATTATGAAGTAAACATCAAAACACGGAATACGTTTGAGAATTTCTTTCACACTTTGAAAGGTTGTACATTATTCCAGAACAATAGAAGCTATATATTATTTTTATATAAACAAAACACACAACGTTATGGGCATACGAGCAAAACAGGGCTACCCAATGGTACGTACTGGAGGGAAGGGGATTGTTAGTAAGGGGGACTGTTGAAACTATCACTATCAATATACCATTTCCGGGTTGAACTCCACACGGTTCCCCTGGAAACCATCGTGATAAATTCTAGGTGAATGTGTCATGTTGAGCTAACTGACCTGGCCTCATGCTCATATTATCATCCTTCACTGGTGCCGGCCAGCGTAAACCGATAGCACAAACGGGTGCACCATTCCACTATCCATAAATAATGTTACTTACTATAATTTGTCATTGGAAACCAAACTTCTCTGTAAACAAGAATGTATTTTGTAGCCAAAGATGTGTTATCTTCTAGAAAGTTCTTGAGATCAGAGAGATGCCATTTATTATCTGTGCTCGAAGTTATACCAGTATCAACAATAGACATTGTTTAATAAAGATATCCCTATTGATAAAATGATTAATGGAACATCTCGCTTCCATGGTATTAAGTTTTCAGGATTATTCTTGGGCATTATAAGACAATTCGTTCCAAAAAGTAAATAGTATGATATTTAAATTTCATAGCTGATGATATTGTAAATACCCATAGTAGACTTATCTCCGATCTCCGATCCTCTGACTAAAGTCGTATCCGTCGTATCCGTCAGGCAGGAGCTGGCCTTCAGCCGCTCCATAAGACCTTCCGTGGGTTTGGAGTGCCATCTGCACTCGCCCCCTAACGTCCGGTGAAGCTGTAAAGGCCAGCTGCGGCCAACAGCATTAGAGTAGTCCGAAAAAATAAAAAAAAGTAGACTTACGATCGATACGATACGATTTGGGTCTATGTCTGACCTATTTCAACCGCTTAGCAATTTGTATAGTAAGGTGTGTTGAACATAAAGCAGGGATCGATAAATTACATAATACGGATGCGTGAAATCTTAGTTCTCCGTAAAGGCAAGGCATGAGTTTTGCCCCTGACATGACGACGTTATATCTGTACATCGATCCAAATTACGACGGCCTGAGCCGAGGTTCGAACCCCTAGCGGTGCCCAGACTAAAGTAGTATCCGTCAGGCGGGAGTTGACCTTCAGCCGCTCCATAAGTCCTTTTGCGGGTTGAGAGTGCCATCTCCACTCGCCCCCTATCGTCCGGTAAAGCTGTAAACTAACAGCATTAGAGTGGGGGGCAGGGGATTGTTAGTAATGTGGACTCTTGACCCCATTACTAGCAATGTACCATGTCAAGTCTACCTTCACGCGGTTCCCCCTGGAAACTATCGTGATAAATTCCTGGTGAATTTGTCACGATGGGCTAACTGACCTGACCTCATGCTATATTCATCTTATCATCCTCCACTGGTACCCCGCCAGCGTAAACCGTTAGCGCAGGCGGGTGAACCATTCCATTATCATCCATAAAAAAAACAGCATTAGAGTAGTCCGAAAAAAAACGTACTGTTCATGTTTATCAAAGACTGTAATAACAATAAATTTCTCAGGTAAACTTACTTAACGCTCGAGCTCGTGAGCTCTACTCGTGTACGAGTTTTAGAAAAAGGAACATGCAAATTGACTAGTATTATACATAGATAGATAAATCGTTAATTTGTGTAGACAATAATATTAACAAATTTGTGACATTATGATCCGCAGCAATATATAAAAGTAGTAAAATCAGGGTGGAAAATTGAACGGACAGAGTAGTATGAAATTTCACATACTTATAGAGGAGTGCAGAATGCAATTTTTTTTTAAGTTATGAATTTAAAATACACTTAATCACTACCATGTATTTGACACCCACACGCATGTATATTATATTGTTTGTTGTAAAAGTTTATGGTCAAATTGAGAATAGAATAATGTTGTCTTTAATATTATTTTCCAATAGTCTTCCTGAATGTTGAATTAATTATGGTTTCCACTATCTGGATTCGAACCTGCGATACAACACGGATATCCCATTGTACCGCCAAATTATTATTTAGAAAAGACAATACGTCTGTTAAAACAAGTTTGTTTGTCATGAGATTGATTATAATGACTTTGCAATCGTTTATCGAAAATCATTATTTTCTTATAATTTTAAAACTGATTATTTTCTTATTTTAAAAAAATAGAAACTTTTATTAAGACATCTGATTCTATTATATTACTCACTAAACGAATTCTTGAATGTTTATCATATTAGTTGTTCAATTGAGAATTTCAATAGCAAAATTTTTAATACATCTAATATATTTTAATAAATCAGAATATATTGTGCATGACGGTTTCGGTGGTCTAACGGTTTAACACAGCGCTTTGCTTCCAATGGTCGCGGGTTCAATTCCTCGCACTATGCAAACATTTTATACTCATGAGTAAGATTTCTATTGATTCGGGTGTTTTCTGTGTATATTATACAAAAGAAAACCGTATCTAAGTACTTATCAGTTCAGTACTCATAACATAAGCTCTGCTTAGCTTGGAGCTAGATGGCGTTGTTTGAATTGTACTGGATTATTATTATTATTATTGTAGTAGTAAGAGACTATGCATAAAAATATGAGATAAAGTTTCTTTACGTATGTCCTTTGAACTAACACACACAATATGCATTTAGCTAATTATATCTCTACAATAAACTATTAAACTAATGAACAAACCATTAATTACATTCTATATTTTTAATTTTCTTTTGAAAAATGCAGTCTAAAAACCATAATATTGCTTAGAAAACTAGTTTAACATATATACATTACATTACCTGTCAATGTATACTACAAATTTGTCGCAACGCTATAAAAATCCTCCGTTCCATAACGGATTAGGCTCATTTGTCTTCTGTGCCGTGAAGGGAACCTCGTACCAAAGTACGTACGAGTACCAAAGTCTGCCCGTCACACGATAGCGTACCGTAAGCATTACCAGCGAAAAATATTCACAATTTAGCTCGATACAATTCGTCAACTAGATATGGGTATAAAAAGGTTTGTCAAGTACAGGAATCGACTTTGTAAACATTCCGGCCTAAATTACCCACTATAACGCCTAAATAACAATCTACAGGTATACATACATTACTGTTTACTTAAATGTAATTTAGTTTTTGCCATGACTCATGTTAAGTATACATAGACTACCCCCTTTTTTTCCTTTTTTCGGACTACTCTAATGCATCTAACCACAGCTGGCCTTTACAGCCTAACCGACGATAGGGGACGAGTGCAGATGGCAATCCAAGCCCCCAGAAGGACTTATGGTAAGTCAACTATTATTTTGTCGAGAGCACGGCTAGTTTGAACCTCGTTCATTTCATCCCCGTTTGAATTGGACGGGGAATCAATTTGGAGGTTTTTTTAATGAATAAAAATGAGATGGTATACCCAAATGAGCTAACGGTTTATGCTGGCAGAGCTCCAGTGGAGG